ACCGATTGTAGAAGTGGGTCGTATACGGGGTTGAATGCCACCGTCCAGGCACTGTCAATGATGCGTCCATCAATTTGCACTCCAAAATCGACCTTCATTACGTCATCGTGTTGCAGTACAGTGTCGTCTCCTGGATTGGGAGTGTAGTGTGCCGCCACGTGATTCAAGGAACATCCCGTGGGGAATCCAATGCCCCGTTCCAAACCATGTTCCTGGTTCAATTCTCTGTTTTTGTTTTCCAAGTCGCGACACATATCCGCCAGCTTGATTCCTGGCTTAATAAAGGATTGGGCATATGCCCTTACTTGACGATGAACTTCCGCAGCTTGTCTCACTTTGCTGTAGAGGTCTTCGTGGAGGCGTTCCCGGGATCGCACTTCTTCGGATGTTTCTCGGAAAGCCTGGCTGGGCAACGGGTGAGGGAGTATTTCTCCCTTTGGAAACTCTTTCCCGACAAAAAGGTCGGCAACGGGAATGGTGGGAGGCTCTGTTTGTCCGTACTTGACATAGTAGTCCGTATAGGCTGTCTCTTTCAGTCCTCTAGCAGGTGGTTTTTTGGAAGGGGTTCCCACTACCAAGTTGGCACCGCCGCCTCCCTTTTTCTTCTTTTTCTTTTTCTTCTTTTTCTTCTTCTTGGTTTGCCCACCGGCGGCAGCATCACCATTGGCTGCATCGTCCTCATCGTCGTCTTCCTCTTCATCAGCCGCGGCTTTGGCTATTTCATCTTCTTTCGTCTCTTTCTCGTCTTCCTTTGGGTCTGCCATGTTTCAACAAATCAGTCACACCTCAACGTACACTAACAATAGACCTGCTTCTATTTCAAATTAGAACAATGGCGGAGCTGCAGTATCAAGTTGGAAGCTTCAATGGATCTCTCGAGTGCAAAGATCAACAGCAGCAACTAAAACTGTGATGAGTGACACCGCCGTTGTCACAGAAATGAATGGACGCGAACTGAGGAGTCCCTGTTGAACTCTTGACTGAAATATTCAGAGCGAAATCTTGCTCTTGAAAGTGACGTGTTTTTTTGGCCATCCTCACCCACAATCTTGTTTCCTCATCTTTTTGGTTATTCTTTGAAGCTTTGACCATGATGATCATGCTGCTGAGAACGACGCTAGTGGCTACTCTAGCCTTGGGATCGCAAGCCTTTACCAGTTACCATCATCATGGAGTCACTTTGACTCACCTGGGAGCCAGCGCTTCTTCGTCTGTCTCGATCGAGGCTGTTGGTCAAGATCTCAACACTGCCTTGGAAGGTTGTCAGGATGAAGTTGCCAAGACAGTCAATGTGGCCGTTGGGAGTAGTCCAACTACAGGACGACTCGGTCTAATTGCCACCAAAAACATAAAAAAAGGTGAAGTCTGCTTGGCAATGCCCCTTGACGATCGGTACATGTTGACGGCAGATGTGGCACGTGATGTCGTCTTCATGGGTGTGCTGCCAGAAAAATTCGAGGGGTGGACAGGAGATGCTGGCCTCATTGCCCTCTTGATACTCAATGAATTGGCTCGGACAGCAGAGCAAGGAATTCAACTGCCTGCTCGCGGTGACGAAGTACAAGCCTTGATGAAAGCATGGGTATCTGCCTTGCCATCACCCGAGGAAATGAAACAAAGCCACCCTCTCCTATGGTCCGAAGAGGATCAAGAAATATTGCAATTATCCTCGACAAACAAAATTTACCGTGTTTTGGATGATATCGAAGAGGATGTGGCGTGGCTCAGTGAGCGAGTCTTTACAGACGAAAAACTCCCAGAAACGGTCGTGATCAATGGCGAAGAACGACCTTGTTTTAGCCAAGACGGCTTTCGCTGGGCCGTGGCACTGGCACAGTCACGGGCCGTCTTTGTCGATAGTGCGTTGCGGCTGTTACCATTGATGGACATGTGCAACCACGATGATGAGGGAGAAGAAATCACACGTGGCATGATGGGCCCATTCAAGATGACGAAAGGAGCTCAAATCATTGCAGCACAAAGTTACACTGCCGGCGACGAAATATTCTGCTCCTATGGACCCAAGAGTGCGGCAGACTACCTGTTAGAACATGGATTTTGTCCTCCTCAATGTTGGAAGACAGCCGTCTCGGAATTGACATTTGATGTTGATCAAGATGATCGATTTTATGACGACAAACTGGATATTCTAGAATTTGAAACCTATGATCAAGCTCCAATGGATCCTGCCCAGTCCTTTGATGTGATCAGTTCGCCAGGACGGGACGGAGAACCAGACCCTGCCATGATCCAATTTGTTCGTCTTTGCAAGCTGGGAGCGACTGACGCATTCTTGTTGGAAAGCATCTTTCGAAAGGAAGTCTGGGGATTCATGAGCATGCCTGTCAGTGAAGGAAATGAACTCAAGGTGGTCAACGCAGTATCCGAGGCATGCCAGCAAGCTATTGACGACCTCAAACAGTGCCCCGAAGGCGGGCCAGAAGTTTGTACACGTCTTCGTGAATCAGAAACAAAGGCCCTATCGCGAACATTGGCGTATCTCCAGAGAGAAAAGGAAGCCTTGGATTTGAAGGAATACTACCAAGAACGGCGGCTGAAAGATCTGGGATTGGACTCGGAATGGGCGCCAGAAGATGACATGTCGGCTGATCTTGGGTACGGACAAACACGGACTCCAGGTGGCGCAGACTATGATTGGTAATTGCCTAGAATCGAATCGAATCGGAGCCTTCCTCGTTGCCGCCGGAAATTGTACAAAAATACCAGGGCATCGCTCTTCTCACCGCTCCTTCGCGGACGGGTGCCTGAGTCAGAGCCTCGGAATCATAGCTAGTCCACATCTTCCACAACGTTGACAGAGTACTTATATTTCTAAATCACCAGAGCGGCCTGGGTAACGATTATTTCAAGTTACTGTTTTGTCAATCAATCCCATAAACTTTCTATTAGTGATTGTTGTCTTTCGTTCCCGTTATTTCTCGAGTTGCACGCAAAGGACAGGGCGAAGGTCATTCGAATCTTCACACAAGTTAGCTCTGAACGGCTAGTTTCATCACTGCAGAGTTACGCAACGTCATATTGTTAGAAATGAGATACAAGAAACGAAAAATATCCAACGAAACCAATCATGCCAAAGTCGAACTTACAATGTTCCATGAAGACCCGCAAACTGACATCATCGGTGTTCACTTGAGCGCCGCCACTACCGCCCAACTCGGAATTGTGTGTTGTGCTTGGATTGAGCTTCGCCATCAAGAAACGGGCTTCACTCTTGTGTTGATCGCACACAATGTATCGAGGCACTGGGAATCGAGAGTCCATGATCAACTGCGCATCCGACTGAGGCGCCTCAAGCAACGAACGGAATGCAGCGTGTTCTTCTTGTTCGTGATATCCCTGCTCACGCCACGCTGCGATTGTTTCGCCGTGAAAGACAACGACATGAAAGAATGTATCAAGCAAGAGGATCGTATCAGGGCGAACACTGTCCGAGTCCAGCAAGGCGGCTTGGGGAGGCCCATTGAAGGAGTACGAAAGCAGTGTCGGCTGGATCATCACAAGGGAGTTTGTCGTGTTTTCCCGGGTCAGAATGTACCTGTAGTAGGCAGCTTCATCTGGACTGGAGTTAAACAACTGCAGAAACTGCGACCGACGAAGATGAAACATGAACTGCGGGTAAAGACTGAATTCCGGGGAGAGACGAAAACTGTTGGGATCATCCGGAACATAATCCGCAAATTTGGCACAAAGCCGAATGAGGCTTCGGTCGACCCATCTCAAAACGTCCGCCACCTCGTCAGTTTCAGTCTGGTGAACTGCCATCCGAGCAGTAAGAACAACTGCAGCCTCCTGGTCAAAGCTCATCTTCACCGGACTGTTGGCCATGGCTTGTCTAGCAGCAACTGGGTCATCCTTGGGAATGTCAGGTGCATTATACCAGGGGCCACAGAGGGTCGTAGCTCTGAGCCTCGTGCGGCCATTGGCGTGCTGATAGCGAGATAGGAACTGAATAAAGCGGCGCTTGCCTTCTGGTACTGGCGTGTTTCCTAAACAATTGAAAAAAACCGGTGAGTCGCGAGGAGAGCGGAAGGTTTCAGCTACTACAAGACTTCAAATAATCAACCAACCACTTACCTGGATTTGTAACATCAAAGTACACTGCAACCGTGGTGGTTGGGTCGACACCACCCAAGCCCCACATGTTCGTTCCTCCTTTGCCCACTTCCAGATCAGAGACATTTGGAGCAGCCTTGTTGAGGCTTGTCACAGGTCCAATGGCACCAGAAACCTTCATTTTGCACGAGGAACATCCATGAGGCACAGAACAGGAAAACGAGACAGACAAATCCAACCCGTTGGTCCTACCTTGAGTTCACGACTTGTGAGTACCTCCAGAGAACACCCGAACGCCATTTGCATTTGTCCGCCATCTTGTGGCACTTCATCGGGGTATCGAGTGAACACACGCCGGAGCGATTCCTTAAAGACGGATTGACCGAACGAATCTCCCAACACCACCAAACCTCCGGTTGCTTCCACTAGTTCTCTCATTTCCAACAACCCGACCTGATCCAGCGAACAAGCAAATACATCAACAACGTGAAAGGCCGCAGTTTCTTGCTTTTGCCCCTGCTGTGTATTGGCATGTGCGAGCTTGGAGTAGAACTCACAAGCTGGTTTATGGAGCGGTTCGGCTTTCTTTGCCAAATCGGCATGGGAACGCATATCGTCTTCCTTCAAACGCGAGACAATGGCTCCAGGCCCGGCAGTGCAAGGACCCGACGTGAATAGCATAATCCTTGCGCCTCTACGAGGGATGGCAAGTTGCAACATGGATGTTGCCACTGATAGAGCAGCTCCGGTCGAACGGGATGGACGCTTGTCGTTGGGTACTGGCCATGGATCTCTCTGTAGATCATCGAGAATCGATTCAATGACAAAGGAGCACTCGGAAACCGGCAACAAGAATCGCTGTAGAATTTCTGCTCCTGGTCCTCCAACTTGCTGAGCAGCTCCCTGTTGCGGTTGTTGCTGCTGAGGTTTGGGCTGCCCGTTGGGGGCATTGGGAGCAGGAGCACGGTTGCATCCTAGCATTTCACCAATTTTGGATGGTTCGTATTCGCGGGATCCTCGCATGACATATGCTTTGGAAATGCTTTCGCTTCCCAGTTCGTAGACGGAAATGTTTGTACCAAATGTGATGAGTCCAACGAGACTGTCCTCTGGTAAAAGATTGAGGGCTTGTGTCAATGAATCTGCCAATTCCGAGAGTTCCTCTTTGGCTCCTCCTGCCGTGCAAGTGTCAATCACAAAGAGGAAACAAGGTGGGCCCTGACTGGGGACCGTCTGGAGTTCATACTCACAGGTACCGTACTGAGGAATGAGTTCTGCTGGCAGATTGGTTTCGGTAATATTGTCAGCCTGTGGTTGTCATTAATACATTTATTTAAAAGGGGTGAGCAAGACTGTCACTCATGACGAACATGCCAGTACTGGTACTAGCTAGCTAGCTAGCAGCAGGCCAAATGCCAATAGATTCGAGAAGAAAAAAGAGACAAAGAGGGGCAGCACGTCGACTCACTTACATAATGGGGAGGGAAATGATTGCGAGTGAGGCAAAAGGGGCAGACCCAAAGCTTGGATCGAAAGTCGACTTGGCAGTATGGATTCAAGACGGCATGACAAGAAGCATTCGAACAGCGCACAGGGTCATAGGGTAGCGCGGTTGGTGGGGCACAGGATGGGGGTAGCTTTTTGAGCGGTGTGTAGAGAGCACCAAAGGGAGCGACACAACGGGTAGCCTCCAGACGCGACGAAGGCCAGCAGTGGAAAGAGAGTCTCGTTCCAGACGTCTCCTCCGAAGAGGCAACATCCCAGGCTTGTCCTTCCATGGTTAAAACAATCAACAACAGGTCGAAATAAGCCAAGAGGCACAAGATTTCGCAACGGCTTGTGTTGTGGATCGAATCCTGTGTCCGTCCTTCCGTCCGTACCTCGACTGGACTCAATGAATCGTGAATGATTCATTCGTACATAGTAGGGTCAAGGCTAAACTATATCGGCATAATGTAACTGCCGTTACAAAGTTACTTAGAGCATTGGCGAAGAGAAGAGCAAGTCGATTAAACCGTTGGATTGATGAGCCCATGGTATGCTGCCAATGCAAAGGTCATGATTGTCACGACGCTGATGGTACTGTATTGGATTATCGTTTCCAGGATCTCTAATAAGTTGGGGGTGATTGGTGCTTCTACTCTACTCTAGCTATCTAGTCTACTCTTTGTTGTTTGTTTGAAGCTTTCTCTGGTACCACTGTCTGCTCAAAAGCTGGAATGATAGCGGAGAGGCGATCCAGTGCTTAGCTGGGAAAGAGTAGAAGACACACACACAGGAAAGAAAGGATACACATCCAAAGAGATTTGAACCGCGTGAATCCTTTCGGCACTCCGTGTGATTCGTTTCATCGAGTCAAAAATTGAAGCAAACGAGCAAAACGCATCAGTGGTGCAGCATGATGACGGGAACAGCACCCAATTCAGCGGGGAGTGATTCGACGGAACCCTGGGATGAACGAGGCGACAAAAAAAGTGCTCTTGGGACATCCAACAACAAAACCAACACCAATAAACCTACCGGGACAACGGCAGGCCTGTTGGTCAACACAACGGGAGGAGACATGAGACGAGACCGATTCGTCTATGACGAACCTGAGCTAGAAGATGGTGATCTTCCTAGACTCAACATTTCCACGAGTGCTGTGGCTGCGGCCAACGCTAACCGAGAGCGAAAGAAACTAATTCCGCCAACAACAAACGCCACTACCAGTACTACGGAAAGCAATTTGCGGAAAACCAACTCGGATGGCAGTGAATTGAGGAGACAACGGGAGTTCTGGAAACAGCTCGATTCCCCCTCGTCCTTGTCCAACGATGAAGAGGCGCGAAAAGCCAGAAACCAAAGGAATGAGACCAAAGACAATAAACGAACTGCCAAAAAACAAGCCAAAACCGATAAGCGGGATGGTGACTACATGGAACGACTCAGAAGAACCAATTCAGATGATAGCGATGACACCAGGGAAACCAAAGAGTTCATTGTAGGGGAAGCGGATAACAATTTCTGTGAACATACGCTTAGTGCTATGGAAGCCATTTGCGGAGACAATGCCTTGCAAGCATTCTGTGGAGGAGTACCCAACACACCCGCTACGACTGGACCTCCAGGAGCCAATTCCAAACTCACAGACGGTAGTCCAGCTCGGCCCAAAAGAGCAAAGAATCTGAACATCCTCAATGCAAAGGGGGACGGGGATGCAGTCGACGAACACACTGCCATTGAAGTGGAATACGTAGAACCTGAAGATACAAATGGGATCCCTCAAGATCGACCGGAAAACTGGAGTCCCTCCAGAAAGAACGCATACTTGGCCGCCATGGCGAGAAAGGCAAAGGAGGACTTTGAAAAGAATCAGGCCATGGAGGTGGCTGCGCAGCAGGCACCCAAACCACAAAAAAGAAGTTCCAATCCTGCTGCAACAGAAACAGCCGACAATATCTACAATAGTTTCAATGCTGCAGAAAAACGAAAGTTCCTTAGGCTCATCAACAGCGGCATGACACCAAAAGAAAGTGCCGACCGGGTGGGCACAGAACGGGACAAGGCTAAGGAATCAAAACCAAAACCAAAGAAAGGAAAGATGTTCAAGTTCTGGAAGAAGGGTTCATCCAAGGCCAAAGCAAACGACTCCACTGACGAAGAGCAAAACATTTCCATGCAAGAACACTCTCCAGTGGAGCCATTTCCGCAAGAGGAAAAGAAGGAAGACGATGGCCATTTCGCTTCCGATGAACGTGGACTTCTCGAGAAAGAAGAAGCAATGCCATCACCAGCAACAGCAACAGCAACATCCATACCTATTGAGTATTCAAGCTCTTCCGAGAGTGGTCCAGCCATGCAGAGCCACGAGTCTCGAACTGAATCTGACGAAGATGATGATCGCAGGGAAAGTGAATCAGAGTCAACGACGGGCGAGTCGAAACCTTCGTCCAATGATAAAAGCCAGGATCGCAGCCTCAATGTCAGCGATGCGACAGGGATCCAGACTGCTTTTTCAGAGGATGCCCTGGATGACAGTGCTGTGTCTCCTGTCAAGGACTCGGACTCTCTTCTGGGTATCACAACCCCACCGCCAGAACCCATCCCTTCTCCTCGCGTTGGTGGCGGCGATTCCAAGGAAGACTCCAGAGATGTCGCAACAACATCTGAGCCTAGTGATGATGACAAGGAGTCTTCAACGTCTGATGCTAGGTTTGCTGTGAGCGGCATCAACTATTACGATGCTGTACGGCGTGATGTTTTCGAAGCTGAACCTGAGGACGAACTGGAATCCTCTGCTAGGAATGCGTCTTCCTTGTCGAGAAACCGCAGTAGTAGTCAACGTAGCTCGAGACTACCCGTAGTTGGTCCAATTCTACCAAAGCTCCAAGGATTTGCGAAACTCCCCAAAGGTGGAAGCAAATCGTTGGACGAAGACAACAGCAGCAGATCCAGACGCGATGCAAAGTTTTCTGAACCGGTAACAAGGGCATCCTCACCCAAGGCTTCAACCGTCACGCCTGACACAACAACCAAGACAGTGCCAGAAGCTACTCCCAAAGATATGAATCCCAGCCCAAAGCCACTTGAGTTGCTCTCTACCCGTGTTGAGAGAATGGATGCAAATTCTACCATGGAATCGATCGGAAACGAAGGACCAGTTGCAGAGACAAAGTCCGAAGAGGAGGCTCTTGGAAACTTGGAGGATGTACTGCTTCGTCCTTTTGGTGGCAACACTCTATCATCAGGCCAGAAAGTCGGCAAGAAGGATGCCATGGATATCTCGCAGATGGATCCCTCACCCCGTTTAGTCACGCCACCAGTGAAATCCAAGAAGGAACGCCCCAACGAAGCATTTTTTGATCCGCCTTCTACCAATCGTAGCCAAACCGCCAGAACGCCAAAGTCTGCTTCGGCGGCGATTGACACGGGTTTTGACATTCATGAATACCTGAGTGCAACCGAGGGATATTCGCATGCTGGAGGAGACGCCAACGAATCAATGTCGGTGGTCAGCGGCAAGAGCTATTCCACCAATGACACTGGTGTTCGAGGCGCTGGATCCGTTTATACGCAGTCATCCACCCTAACGACTTCATCGAGGAAACGGAGGCCCGGAGCAGCAAAGTCTCGCCTTGCAAAGGCCAAGGAAGCTGAGAAGCATTCAGCGAAGAAGCAGGGGTGGCACGAGTCTATCCGAGCTGCCGCAGAGTCCACCAAGCGTGTCTGGAAGCCAAAACTGGGATGGGTGGACTACAAAGAACCAGCAACAGATCAATCTATCGCAATGGAATCCATGGACAGGAGTATTGCCGATTCGACACCCCAAACACCTTTGCTGAGTACTAGTACCTCTTCTGTCCAACGGAACACGGATACGATGCATCTGAAGCTGCCGATTTCGAAAAAGAAGAAGCCTCCCCTGTCGGAGGAACTGCCTTTTGCGAATTCAAGCGCAGCGAGCATGAATGAGTCCGTTGCCGAATCGCTTTTTAGTGCGGAAGAAGCCCCGTCTGTTAGGACGATGAATCTTTCACCCCCAAATGTCCCCGTTGTGAAGAAGGCTGAGGAAGCAATCATCGACAGCAGAACTGCGTCGCAGTCGAATGTGAACAGGGCTGTGCTGTTGGAAGAACCACCCATACGCAGGAACCCTCTTCTTTTCGAGGACATGGCTCTGTCGAATACCCCTGAAGGTTACCCAGTGCCACCCCAACACAAAGGCCCGACGGATTCTAAACGCTCGAATATTGCAGCCGTAGCAAGGCCTACCCTGTTGGATGATTTGCCAGCCGATGAATTCGACGCAAGTCGAGCGGAATTTGCCATCCACGGAAACAAGGCAACATCAGCGCAGCATAATCAGGAAGGCGTGGCTTCCATCGCAACAGAGGCACTACCCGAAATTCGAGCTGTGACTGTGACTGGTAATGAACACGAGAGCTCTGTTCCGATTAATTCAGCCGAGAAGCAAACGCAGCTTGATAGCAGCTACCTCGACACGACTGGAGACAGTTCAATTCCGCCGCCGCCGCCGGCGGTGCCAGCTTCAATCGACGACATTTCCATCGAGCAGTCGGTTGCGTATTCAGTGGAACAGTTTGTTCAGTCAGTAGGCACGGCGTCCCCCGCGAGATCGAGCAGGAGAAAGCCACAGGCTGTTCGGTCACCTAACCGTGCACTAAGGGCCAATCCTGCCACTTCAAAACAGTCAGGGTGGGTTGATTCCATGCGTGCAGCTACTGCAAACATTGCAAAGGATAGACAAGTCTGGGATCCAGTATCTGGTTGGACTGAAGTAAGTGTCAATCCCCAGGACGGACCAGTTGAGGACGACCTTTCGACGCAATCGTACCGTCAGAAAGAAAAGCGGGCGGAGCCCCACTCTCTGAGGAACGGTGGAAGGATTCAAGCGAACAATATGGAGGGTACACTTGACGACAGCAATATCACGAAACCCAGCATTGCCGCGGAGAGGGTAAAGCAGCCTCTTGGTGAAACGTCTTTGCCAGCACACGACTCCGCTTTGCAGGGAAGTCGCGTCGATCACTACCAAATGGATGTGGCTGATGATGGCGGCGGTGGTGATACCCTAAAACTACCCCCATCAAGATTTGGAAGCAAAGCGAAGGCTGGCAAACATGACAAAGTTCCATTGCTTGATCCAGCTAAAGGCTTTCCTTCGGAGAGTGTGAAAATGACGCCTACGGTTAACGTCGTAAAAGAAAAGGTCGACGAAGAGGATCGAAATTGGTTTCCAGAATCACGAAGGAGTTCTGCAAAGGCCGCCCCGACTAAGCAAGAAACAGCTAAGCCCGTGAACATATCGATGGACACTTTGGAAGGAACAATCTCGACAAATTCTCCGAAGGACGAGCGAAAACGAGGACCAGTTGATGTCGACACGGTCGATGAAGTTTACGACGAAGATGGCCTCAAGGACCAGGGACTCATTTGGAATGGAGTGGTTTTTGAGTCGGACAACCAAGATAGCCATGTTCAGGCTCCGGCCATTTCACCTACTTTGCACGAGGCTCCACAAAACCAAGCAGGTGACTCGCCAAAGTCAGGATCGACGGTTGCTTCGTTGAGCCAGTTCTCGAAGATTGTTCCAAAGCTGACATCAAACAGGAGAGACACGACTCCAATGAACCGGGGAGGTTCAACTGACTTGTCCGTGGATTCCTGGTCGTCGCCGACGAGGTCGAGAACAGGCGACACACCTTCCAACAAGTGGAGTGACCAAGCTTCATCACCAGAGCCATCAACGTCACCTGGAAGGTTGGGTGCTGAAATGATGAATGATGGCCTTCGTGACTCCCACGAGCCACCGGAGGCACGTTTCCTCCATGATCAAAGAGCGAGAGACAGGGGTGCTAGCTCAAACTATCAAGATCGAAACCTGGGAGACAGGAATGGTGGCTCAAACTACACGGAAAATGACCACCACGTGAATCAAAGCACTGTCGCAGGAGATGGTGGCCTTGCTTCTGAAATGCTCCATAATGGAGATCCCACAAGTTTCGAGGAAAGAGGCGGTTCGAAACATCCGACAGGAAATCCGAGACGGTATGAAAACAGGGGCGAGCAATCGAGGCGATCTCCTATACCCGCAGGCAATCTTAGAGCGTTCGAAGAGAGCGGGGAGACTGCAACACACTCACCACTCCCTGCGGGAAACCCAAGAGCGTTTCCGGAGAGCAGAGCAGAGACGGCGAGACAATCTCCCATCCCCACGGGCAATCTCAGAGCTTTCGACCAACCGCCTCCCCCACCGCCGCCTCCCCCTCCTGCAAATCGCAGAGAATTCGAGGGAACGGGAATAGAACGCAGGACGCACCCTTGGTCTTCTTCAAACCGCCCGAGTAGGACCGGCAACTTAAATGCAGGAGATGAATCGAACACTGGCGGCCGACCCACTCCGTATTCGCAAAGGAGACAAATGGATTTTGATGTTCACCCGGTGGATGTTGAACCCACTGAAGGAGACTCCGAGTCCCAAAATGTGAGGCATAAAGCTCAACAGTGGGAGAGTAGATCTCCCACCAACATACCGCATGGCGACCGCCGTGAAAATCCTGACGAGAAAGAGCAGAACAGGCTGAACGCAGCAACAGCTGAATGGAAGTCTTTCCTAGGAAAGAAAGTGCAAGCAGAAAGCGCAGCTGCCGAGCAACATGGGCTACAACTCCACCATCTTGACCATCAAGTGGACCCAAAGATGCGCCGCCCCTTGGAACAAAACGATTCCATCTTTGAATTCAGTTTGGATGAGACGTCTGTTGAAAGTGACAACCGCTCGCAGCCACAGCGCAGAGATTACCAAGGAAACAATCCAATGGAGAGCTCCAGGGATGTAAAGAATATTTCTCAAGAGGTGATGAGTGACTATTCGGACGGAAATGAAATCAACAAATCATTTCTTACGCGGCTTGCCGGTTGCGCGGCTCCTATGATGCCAAAACGGGGCCAAGGTCCCGCTGCCGAGGCCATGGCTCATTTGTCTTTCCTCCGAACAAACCCGAAGGTTGACAAAAGTGCGAGATTTATGCCTCCGTATCTTTGCGGAAGACCAGACGTGATCATTGAGGAAAGAGAGAGCGAAGGAGACGGGGACGAGCAAGAAGGAGGTGCAATACAAGATGGAAATGGTCTTTCAAGGGAGGACCTGACAACACACAATTCGCAGCAGGGCAGCAGAGGTGTCGAATCAAAGGGTGGTGCTACTCCCAGTGTCATCTCGGATGATTTTGGAGCCAAAACTGCCTATTTAGAGGCACTTGCGATGAAGACGGCTGTCTCGAAGCCGCGGAAGAGTGACAAAAGACGCAAAGGATCTTCTGCAGCGTCTGATGTCTCTACCACCTCTACACAGACGAGCCACAGAGAGAAATGGAGGGACTTCCTGGACAAGAGAGGGGTCAGTCCTGGTAAACAGAGGCCTAGCGGTGGCAGCGAAACATCCACTGTCACTGCGGCGGAAAAGTTTGCTGCGAATCAGGTGAACGAAATGATGGCACTGATGGCGTCGCGTTCGAAGACTGGGAATCGCAGCAGTTGGCGAAATCCTGAAGGAGCCGCCAATGACAAGCGATCTCAGGTTATCGATAAGATGATTCGAGATCACGATGAAGCAGCTGGCAGCAGACAGCAGAAGAGCGATTCCGTTGTTGCGGCGGAACAACTGGCGTCGGCCCGAGTCAATGCCATGCTGACCGCTTTGGCACAGGATAGCCCCCCAGCGGATCAAGGCGAAATATGACAGGAGGATAAAGAAGTATGAGCCTCAGACACAAAGAAAGAGCGTAATGAGTAACTAGGAATGTGCAGTATTATTTAGAATCTGTTGAAGTGTGTTCATGTCTTCTCTTAGTACCTGCGGTAGCCCTGGGCTGAAACGACGCGTGGGAGATAGGCTAGCTAGTTCCATTAGGCGATATGAAGCCGGACTACCACTTGATGACAAGATGCAGGCTGCTCCCACCTCCACATCCCAGACCCATCTTAACAACAGGCACGTTCTCTTCTTCGTGATCTTCTTCTTCGTTGGCGGATGTATTGCCTTGTCTTTCGGTATCATCACTAGCATTATCGTCGTTGTTGTTGTGTGCAATCTTCCATGCCAAGGGTCGAAACATGGCAAAATGTTGATCCGACGATTGATAGCCCGTGGTGGAGCCTACGACCTTTGGCTGCTCCAAGGAGTGGTCCTCTGCCATACTACACCGGAGCAGAGTCAAAGTCACCCTACCAAGGAACTCCCTTCTGGCTGTTTCTGGCCACTGTAGGAAATGAAACTCAGCCTCTTCGTCACTCTCCAGTTCCGAGTCATCACTGTCCATTTGCAGATATCTATCATCAAACCCCATATACTCTTGAAGGCTATTCAAGTCGTTCCTGACCATGACAGTCCTGGCCCGATCATGGATGAAGCCTATGTAGGTTTGAAAGCCTTGATCTTGCGCGTCACTGACTTGTCTCAGCGACTCAAAGTTGGATTGGAACCCTTCCAACAAGACGGTTGTATCATTATTGCTGGGGACCCTGTAGGTGATTCGCAAAAAGAACTCTACAGGAGGAACTCCAGCAGTGGTTGGGTTGTTGAAGAAGTCTTCAAAATCCTCGACATAGTTTTGTCGTGTGTAGCAGGACTGATGGTTTGGACAGGTCAAGGTATGTACTCTGGGTCGACGGCGATGTCTTCTTGGTTGACTTTGTATATTCTGCTGCAATAGTAACAGTTGCTTTTCATAGCGTTGTGCCGTCCAAGAAGCCTTTGCGAATTGAACTCCTCTCTGTCTTGGGGTGGCAGTGTGCAGTGCCGATTTGGAGTGTCTGAATATGTCCAGGCTTTTCCATTGATCGAGCCAAGAAGGCCTCTGTCTTGTGCTACAGTTGGAATACTGTAGATGGGGTTTGTACAGTCTTCCAGGGAGAGCAGAGAAACTTCATCTAGAAAGCGCGCAATTTTCATGAGTAGTTCATTGCTGAGCGAGAGTAGAGGGGATTGAGCAATGCAGATATCTCGTAGTTCCACCCTCGTAGCAGAAATTCTGTCTTCTATTACTTGATTTGACAACCGCTGAAGGTCCAGCAAAGCTTGCAGCCGATTCTGTGGAGTGGAAGTTCCCAGGGCTGTCAAAGCTAGGGATATCGAATGGCTGACAGAGCCGGAGAAACCTCTGAGCACATCCTGATACTGCGGTTCGTCGTCAGTATTTCCTTGGTTCTCTTGGTGATCCATAGCTTCCATCACGGGACGGTACAGTATAGTATTGAGCAGGTTCTAGCCAGCTACTCTCGCGGAAACAACCGGAAATCTAAAACCACCGAAAACGCTATTTTCCTTATTGTTATCCATAATTGTTTATTCCCAAGTCTCATTATTATTTTTGTATTCCAAGCCCCCAAATTTCCGGTGGGAAGACCCACAACTCATGTAGAAATGTACTGAGCTCTACAGACGTCCGGTGGTTTCTGCAAGAGTAGCCAGCTACTAATAGAAGTGAGCAAAAGTCAACACTGTCAATAGTGGCATCGAGTTGTGGCATGTCATGGTCGTCTTGGAAGGATTCAATCACGAGTTTGGTACCGGTACCGGTACCAGTACGGTACGTATGAGTCACGAGATCTTTGACACCGTCTCATTTTTCAATGCGAAGGATGAGATCAACCTCCACGCTACAGCTACTAGTAGCCAGTACCCGTAGCATTCACAAATCACAGCGTGTTGACGCCTTTTTGGTTTTTCCCTGGTTCGACCTCTCGTTGTCCTGCTCATAACGTCCTACACTTGTACAAGTACAGCAGTCTTTCAATTCAACTCTTGTTACAGAAACTCTGTGACTCTCAACTCTTATTGACCATGGCATCATCATCTGAAGAATCGACGACGAGAAAAGGATTCTTGGGCATCGATATTGGCACTCAGGGATTGTCGGCTCTTCTGATTGACCATGATTCGCTGCAAGTGATTGGAAAAGGAGAAGCCCAGTACGGCATGGTGGACAACCTGGACAATGGTTGCTACGAACAGAATGCGCAGGATTGGGAAGATGCCCTGGTGGACTCCATGAAACAGCTACGAGAACAAGTGCCAGGAATGGAGGTTTTGGCCATTGGAATTGCCGGCCAAATGCACGGCGAAGTTCTCATGGACGAACAGGGACACGTGATAGGGACAGTACGGTTGTGGTGTGATGCTCGCAATGAAGAAGAAGGCATGGAACTCACCAACAAGTTGGGCCGCAAAGTCCCAAAGCGCATGACATCGGCTAGATTTCTATGGACCATTCGGAATAAACCAGATGTTGCCCGAAAAACTAGACACATGAACACTCCCGCTGGATGGATGGCGTTTCGTCTCAGCAATCAGCATTCTTTGGGAATTGGAGATGCCAGTGGAATGTTTCCCGTCAGTCAGAAAAGCATGAACTACGATACAGAACTCTTGAACAAATTCGATGCTATTGTACGAGAACAGGACCAATCCATTGCTCCTCTGGAATCCATTCTTCCAAAAGTACTTGTCGCAGGTGAGACGACTGGACTCTTGACGAGTGAAGCTGCTAAACTGCTGGGATTGCATGAAGGAATTCCCGTGGCTCCAGCAGAAGGAGATCAACCAGCAGCACTCGCAGGATCCTTCATCGGGAGCCCCGGAACTGTCTCGTGCTCGTTTGGGACATCTGTTTGCGCCAATTCCGTGGGAGACCGTGAATTCAAAGGAGTCAGCGATTCGGTAGATCACTTTTGCGCATCTGACGGGAAGCCCATCAACATGATTTGGCTTCGAAATGGCACTACGTTTCTGAATTCTGTAGTGTCCAGCTATGGACAAATGCTCCAAAACAGCGCAGAAAGTAACGATGACATCAAACCTAGCGCATTTGATGTCATCATGCCGAAACTTGTCAAGGCTCCGCCCAATTGTGGTGGTCTCTTGGCCCTGCCCTTTATGGATGACGAGCCCGGGCTGCATGTGTCGAGTGGAGGGAGCGCTATGATTGTTGGTTGGAATGAATCAAATGCAAAGCCAGAGAATGTGGCCCGAGCTGCGTTGATGTCCACCTGCTTCAACCTGAGAATTGGAAGCGAGGTTTTGGACGAGCAGGGCTACCCTAGGAAACGAATGGTTCTCACTGGAGGCCTGGCAAAGACTCCAGAGTGTGGCCAGATCATTGCGGATGTGTTCAACACACCGACAGAGTTACAGCTGGATAGTTCCGATGAGGGCTCTGGCTTTGGGGCCTGCTTGATGGCAACATTTCTGTATCACAAAACAAAAGCTGATGCAAAGATGGAGGGAGATTGGACCGATTTCTTGGAAACAAGACGAAAGAATCGGTCCAAGCTTTTGTATTATGACCCGAATCCAGAGCATGTCTCCGTAGTGAACGATATGTTTCAGCGCTACAAAAAGTTGTTGACCCTTGTGCCTCAGCTCACTGAAGCGGTGAAGAAATAAAAATAGATATTCGTTGCCCCATCTACAGTACTAGCTAGCCATTCAGCCTAGCTAGCCATTCAGCCTACCGGTATGCTTCGGGTTACCGTGCTGGTATAGGAAGTGGCTCATCCAGGTTTAGGTATCCTCGGAGCTTCAAGCAGCAACTCTAATGCACGGTACCGGTACCGGTTGTAGTGCCTTGTCTGGAGTTGAGCCAATTGAGGAAAGAACGCGTCAAAGACAAAGACGGTTTTTAGCCTCAACCTTAAAGACCATTGCTAACGGGTGGAAGAGATCCGGAATGATCGGTCTGTCGGTCTGTGCTTCAAGCATCATACTGCATCAAGCAAGCTTTTCCAAAACTGATGCTGATTGATACCATACCGGTAGAAGACACATTGAAGGCAAGGCAAGGACAGACAAGCGAGTGGTGGCAGCAGTTACTACAGTACCGTATAGGAAGGCATAGTATTAGTTAGATATGGGCAACAAGCGTCGACGAACTCCGTCGTTTGTGACGGCAGGCATCGGTGATGGACAACATGTGGGTCGTGAGAACAGCAAGCAAGGCCAAGGAGGATCTCATGGCCAAATTGGGAAGCTTCGAAGACCTCCCGATGACGACTTGATTCGGTTAGCGCAGACAGCAAGACGCAACAGCAACAACAATCCCAACAATTATCGTCTTCGACCAGCTCGAAACGAGCGCCTTTTCCGAATAGAAGATGAGCCCAGGAGGGAGAGTCGTTGGGATGTCATGTTCGGATCCCCTAGCACGGACGGAAATGGAAAACTGGACACTGGTTTCGTCAATCCCATGAGAGCGACTGAACCATGGCAGCTTTCGGCTTTCACTCTAGTAGGGATCGTTCTCCTCTTGAGTGCCTTGTTTCTGCATTTGGTATCTGACGGCTCTGGATCCTCATCAAGTTCCTCAGGCACACAACATCATCACAGCCACAGAACACCCAAGTATCGTCGCTTTCACGATCGCAATAACAAACGGAAATCGAGCGGAGGAGCCACGAGGAAAAAGAAAACTGACGAATGGATATCTGATGAATCGGGGACTGAAGAAGAGGAGGGAGCTTCGGATGGACAGGCTTCCACCAGCACGCCCAAAAAAGCCACAGGATCCTCTAACAAGGCAGTCTTCTATTCTTATCAGCCACGACATCGAAAACCAAGTGCTGGAGGAGCAAAGGAAACATATGGGGCGACATACTCACCTCTTACAGCACCGAAACAAGAAGCATCTGGATTTCACAGTCGGAATTACTACCTCACTCCAGCTCATGGTCCAGTCATGATGCCCTCCTACCACAGCCCATCTCCAGCTTCGCAAAACAATAAGGTGCGACTGGCAAGTCCTTCCCATCATCCGCAACCACTGCAAAATATTGACAACAATAAGCGATCATCGGCTACGAAACAGCAGAATTTGCCACCCGAATCACCCTTGGCGGACAATTCTTTTGTAGTGGCCACGGGATTGGAGACCTTCCAGGCAGATCCTCCGCCGGTACCGGTAGTGGCTCAAATCCAACCGCAGCAACCATTGGAAATAACGAGACCACCCTTGGGTATCCATGGGAACATGGAAGAAGATGACGAAGAGAGCCAGCACAGTTCCAAAAACGTAACTCCACGCGGACAGACACACTCTCCGGCTGTGAGCCCCTCGTTGCATCCTTGTCAGTTGAGTTACACGCACAGCGGTAGCAATTCCTACACTGCCTACGGTAATTTCCACATGGATGAAAGCCACCACGTTTCCAACAGAGGCAGCGGGCACACTCCTAGTCGCGTTTCCTCGTCATCCAATCATTCCAGCGTTGGAATGATGTCGCCTCGTGTCGAAGTCGATATTGGTGATCTGGAAACGCCAAGAGCTGGAATGACTAGAAAAACCGTGGACGTGTCGCTGGATGGCCAAGGACTCAACAATCGAGGTGGGATGTTGATGAAACAAGGCTACCAAGCTTACTCCAATCGTGCCCAACCACGCCCCAATAGCAACAGCAGCAATCGTAGCAACAATATCGAAGATCCATTCCAGATTCTTCGCCTACCCTCGGTCCCATCCATGGGAAAACCTCAAGCAGCTGGTGGTTTGAATGCGCATCATCCGGTGGAAGGAGCACAAGGGAGCCAGCAGGGACAAGGAGCCTTTGGAATGCCTTTGCTTCCCAGCCTTGATCCATCCAATAGAAGGCCAAATGCTTGGAAGCAAGAAGATAATCTCAGCCAGACAACAAACGGTACGGCTGCTCCACGTTCCATTTCGGTGGAGGAATTGAGGCTCGTACAGATGGAATCTGGAAGTGCTTCCTGGCAGGTACAGGATGCAGCTTCTGGTCCTGGCGCTGCGAATGTTCAGTCATCTTCAAAGGAACCTGAGAAGGTACCGATTGTTCCAGATTTGGGTACTTCCAAGGACCTGTTTGCGTTTGTCCCATCCACTGACGACGAAGAAACTGATGGAGAATTCGCGGTGGAAACAAACGAAGCACGCAAGAGCATTGTACACAAGCGTGCCAATATCACCGAAGCCACGGACGCTGCATCGTCCCTTCGCTCGTCGATCAAGTTTTCAGAGTTGGCGTTGGCCGAAGTTATTGGAGGTGGTGGCTTTGGTCAAGTTTGGAGGGCCATGTGGCGGGGGACGCCTGTTGCTGTCAAGGTGCTAACCGGATCAGCGCAAGCGAAGCACGTGTCCAAGGCAATTTTGGAGGAGTTTGCAGCGGAAATCAATTTGCTCAGTGTAAGTGCAGTCAGACAGAACTTGCCGATTTTTACCGTGGTGCACACCATGTCACTCATTTCCGCCACTTCACAGGGCATGCGCCATCCAAACATTTGTTTGTACATGGGGGCGTGTGTAGACCCTCCCAACCGTGCAATCATCACGGAGCTTGCTGCGAACGGGTCGCTTTGGGATGCACTTCGGCTTCCGCTCTGCCCACCTTTCCAGGCCTCCGACGGATTCTCGCGACACAGTTGGCCAGACCACATGTATACCCCTGGAAAGCATGGTGCTCCACCAACGTTGACAGCACCATCAATTCCTCCAGTTCCATCGGTGGGAAGTTGGCCGTGGGTTCTTGTGAAGCACGTAGCCTGTGGCGCGGCAAGAGGCATGGCTTAGTAAGTCCCGGTCGCCTGCTTTCGTGCCTTCCTCTGCGTCATACTAACGACTTGTCATCTATCTGGTGTCCTTCGTCGCTTCAGCTTGCACAGCGGAGATCCTCCAATTCTACATAGAGATTTGAAGAGCGCGTAAGGACGATGCTACGTGTTGGTTATGTATATGGTTTTGAACGGTTCTGCACTGACATTATTTTCTTCTCTTTTGTGCGGTCTTGCAGGAACATTCTGTTAAACGAATCCTACACCGCGAAGGTTTGTGATTTTGGGCTCAGCAGATTGAAAGCGCAGGAAAGGAGCATGACAGGCAACTGTGGCACAGTTCAATGGATGTAAGGCGGTTTTGGGGACTCTTTGACCCTTTTTCGACGCTGTTCGCCCAGGGACCATCTCACCATCACCATCTGTTTGGTTCTAACCACCATAGGGCACCTGAAGTTTTAGCCAATCAACGTTACAATGAAAAGGCAGATGTATACAGGTGAGTTCGACTCACTGCTCTGAGAATTGAAGACTCGTTTGATGTTGGTCTGCTGCTAACTTTCCTGTTGCTGACTGTTGTGTACAGCTATGGCATCATCTGTACAGAACTATTGACCAGAGAGTGCCCCTACGAGGGCATGACGGCGATACAGTGTGCATTGGCGGTACTGAACCGCGATCAACGGCCCGAGCTGCCCAAATGGTGCCCACCACCACTGAAGGCACTCATCAAGGCATGCGTCAAGAAGAATCCAGCTGAAAGACCTACATTCACCCAAATTATTGCGGCGTTGGATGCTATGCCGTGAGCTTCCTGCTACTAGTACGTGACTGGTAGTTCTGGTCGATGCTATAAGGATTGAAGACACAGACTTTCTTCTACTAGATAACACTTACATACTTTGATTCATATTGAAACCCCGATACCAAAGCTAGTACTGTGGTAGGTAGACATTTGCCTTTCCGAATGCAAGAAGAATTACTTCATATTTCACTGCACACAGCCGTACACCTGTTGACACCCAGCTCAATAAGTCCAACTTAGGGTTCTCCTCACGCCAACAGTTGGACAGTCGATACAATGATAAGCATTGCACTCAACGGAATCGATCACCATGACGACAGTTTTCATGCCTCCTCCACTACCACCTTCCGCGGGCGCTTTAGTGATGACCTCGAATCCATCTTCGAGTGTCTTCTCGGCAAAGTCTCCATAGTCTTCACAAGCAGAGAAAATGTTTTGAATTGGCTCCACCGTCTGCATGGCCACGTCCTGAGTCAATGCACCGCTTTCGCAGAGGTTTCGGAACCAAGTTGGGATTTCTTCGTCTTTGACACCAAGCTTGCGGCAAGCATCAATGGCAAAGGTCACGCAGTTTTTCCGGAGCAAGTCGTAGTCAATTCCCATGTATTCACATGCCATTTCCTTAATGACTTCTCGACCCTCTACAAAGCGCTCAACTTCCTGGTAAGTGGGAGCTTGGCTGTCTGCACTTGTGGTATCAATAGAACTTTCCGCGCACACCCAGGACTTTTTGACCAAAGTCCTTTCACCGAAATCGATGGTTGTTCGATACTGGTAACCCGGGGATCGCTTTGGCATGCACGAGAAGACTCCACTGACACGAGGCAAGGAAGTCGCCCCGTAGCTGTATTCGATTCCATTGACTTCCACTCCAACATGATAAGCCCCTGTTCCCATTGAATGCAGCGACGAGTTGACGACATCGAAGCACTTTCCAATGGGGATGAAGCAACCCCAAGGCAACTGCATGACCGTTTCTGATGGAATCAAGTCATAGATGTGCAGTTTGATCCGATTGCGTCGATGAGGCGTCGGGAGGCTACCTCGACGTCCATATCTCACTTGTCGGGACATGCGCAAGAAAAGCCTGGAAGTTCTTTGAGCTTGCTCTGCAGCCCATGCATTGGCACTTTGGTTGTTCCTAGGATATTGGTACTTGCGAAGGACGGCACTCAGTGGCTCTTCTTTATCCTTCTTACCCAGTCTAGTTCCACAATAAGCCGCAGAATCTTCGTGGGGTTGAGGTTTGCAAGCATATTCACTCTCGTCGGCGGAAGATGCAGTAGGCCTTTGGCTCTCGGTCAAGCTGTAAATGTCGTCTCTCTTGGAAGGTGTCTCTTCGCTGTTGGTGTTTGGGTCGTAGTTTCCTCTTGAATGCGAATGGACTGAACTGAGTGGCTTGTACCGATCACCTGTGCTGGAACCGAGGAGAGCTTCCTGGATTTTCCCTCGCAACGGTGGCTTGCCATGGGTTGGCGGGGAGTATCTGTTGGCTGGCCTTTTTGCCGCTGCAGCTTCCTGGGCATCCCATTCTTCGACCGTTGTAGTGATGGAGTTGATCAAGTCTCGTCGAGTGGCCTCGTCGACTGAAAGTATGGTATTCTTCTTGGGTGACTTCTCTCCACTCGTCGTCCGGTTCGCTGGTTCCCTTGCTTCGTCCACAAACAAAGCCTTGACAGTTTCTGGCAATGATCCAAGGCTGTCATCCCCTCCTGAATGTCCCGAATTCGTTGACTTGGCCATGTCTCCTCCCGTGCTCTTTGTATCCACAGAACAACAAACGCTTCCACCAGTCATTTGGAAGTCTGATGCTCGGATGTGGTTGTACAAACGCTTCGTCGGTTCAACGAGAGGTGGTTGTCTTTGTTGAAGGATTTTGTTGATGCACTGAAGCCACAGGTTCTGATTGCTTATTAGTGGTGGCAGCAGTTGGGCGTTGAGTGCCCAATTGTGAAGCATCGGCCTGGGCGCAAACAAATTACTTATGATCGGTGCGGGCGCGGCTTCCTGTTGCCTCCGTTGAGCATTTGCGGACGCGCTGAATCTTCTTCCTTTACACCCGTCCCCTCCTTCCTGGCTGCAATCTCGGATGTGAGCCAGATTTCTTCATCTCCGCACAATATTAATTAATATTATCATGACTGAGGACTCTCTTGGTTGTGGCTACTGGTACGCCATGGACCATACCGATATACATGTACCTGCAATCGTTGCAGATTGATTACATAGACTGCATTCAGCTAGCCAGCTGTAATATAAACAAGAAGGGGTTTTGATTTTTGTACCGTACTTCAGAAGCTACTAGTACACTTCAAAGTGCTCGTTTGACCCACTTCCATGCTGTATGATACTGGCACACAGACTGAAAGAAATTTGGTTACTGAAACACTTTTTCTGGAGCTACTCAATCTATCTACTTCCTTATACCGGTACCTACTACATATTGTAGTAGCTAGTCTCCTCTCTGATTAAAAGTGGATTGGATTGGGTACTTCTACCTCATTTCATTGCTACCGTACATGAATGATTTCATTGGTTTGATTTTGTTTAATTCTTCTTGATGATTTTTTGAAGCAGGTTCATCTTGGCCTTCATTTTTGCTAACTGGAACTCGTGTGTCTTGGAATCTTTGTCAAAGATGGATTGCATGGACTGGAATGCCTGTTGGAATTCATCTTCTTCCTGTTTCATCATGTTTTGTTGCTTGTCAATGGAAGCCTGGAGGTCCAACGGTGCAAGTTTCCACAGTCCCTGGACCTTGTTTCGTTCCGTAGTAGCACAGAATGCTGTGTTTCCCGGGCTGCAGATTGGTTTTTCCAGGGTGGCATTGGCAAACTCGGATAATGCTTCATAGGTTTTTTCGCCCCGGTAGGTATCCAGGAAAGCGCCATCTGCCGATGGATCCCCAAAGAGGAGAGTTGGGAATCCCTGTATTCCCCATGAAACGCACCATGATTCGTCCTGCGTACAATCCACCGATGCTACCAGGACGTGTTTGTGATTTTCCCACTCTTTTGCCATTCTCTCCCAATGCGGTGCCAGTTCCTTGCAATGTCCACACCTAACAAAAACAATGGTATGACAAGTCAATTTTAAAATTCACAAAAGCAAGAAAGATGGAAGTCTCAGTCTACTGCACAATTCTTGCACACGGACATCACAACACAGCCCACGTAGAGTGATGATGATGATAAGTCCTACGCGTACCATGGTGCGAATGCTTTAATGAAAACTGTCTTTCCGTTTGTCTTTTCGGCATAATCCTGCTGTGTCAAGAGGATTTCGTTGGAACCAGCCACTGTGTGGAATAGTGGTAGCATCAACGTGGATAGAATGCAGGTCCGCCAACAGGACTTCGTCATCATCATCGTTTATTTGCTCTGTACAAATCTACCGGTTTCGGATAGAATACACAAACAAATACTAAATTGATAGAATACATGAGCTACTAGCTAGTTATTAAATTAGTACCGGTAATAGAAGGTGGAGCTTCCTTGTCATTGTTTTGAATCGAATCCAGTCAATGAACGACTCCACTCAATCATGATCATGATTTAAAACTATTGGGGCGTCATCGTATCTTCCAACCGTGCGCATACGGTAAGGTCCCAGCCGATGCTTTGGCCCTCAACTTCTTCTAGAGGACATTCTAGCTAGTAGTTTGAGTCCGTCCATCTCCATAAGCCACTGTATAATTGCACAAAGATGGCCGTGGACGAGGCGAAAGCGAGTGGAGATGGAGGGGCATCCGATGCGATTCCTGTATCTTCAGTAGCAATGAAGCTGCTGGATATGCGAAGAAGGTGACGAAGAAGATCCACCAACACTCATCAAAAAAATTGGTGGCCCGCTTGGAAGCCCGCAGGGGACAAACGAGATGTGGTGGCCGTGGGTGCCTATGGGGGACCTTGAGTGTACTGGACTTTGAAGGAGGAGGAACCGGGAAAATTGTTCATTGCTGTGATTACGGAAAAACTGGCTGTAGACGATCCACTCCCGGACAATATGTGGCAGCTGATCCCAAAGGCAGAGCTGTCATGATTGCTGCCATTGAAAAAAGAAAACTCGTCTATGTTCTCAATAGAGATGCCACGGGAAAACCTACTATTGCCAGTCCTCTGGAAGCTCATCGTGGAAGAGCCATCACTTTCGATGCTGTTGGCTTGGACAATGGATACGACAACCCCATTTTTGCGGCCCTCGAACTCCAATATCCAGAATCTGGAGACGCAGCAGAGCTTCCAAGTGCAGATCAAATCGAAAAACAGCTGGCATATTACGAACTGGATCTGGGATTGAATCATGTCAGTAGAAGATGGGCCACCACCACACACAGGACTGCATGTTGTCTCGCAGCACTGCCTGGTGGAAACGATGGACCGGGAGGAGTCCTCGTCGGAGGAGAAGACTGGATTGAATACCTGCACGAGGGACTCACTTTGGGCAGCAACAACTTTACACGTCTAGCAGCAGCTATTCCAAGGAGAATGCTACATCCCGCAGAAAAGGGAATCCTCATCACCAAAATCACTGTACACAAACAGAAAAAATCCAAGTTCTTCGCATTAGCACAATCGGAACTGGGTGATGTCTACAAAGTTTTGCTTGAATTAGATCCAGCTGATAAAACAAAAGCCACCGGATTGCATGGTCATATCTTTGCTCGACACACTGCCCACTATGAATTACAGGGCAAGAGCTCTAGATTCGTAGTAGCAGCGCTAAGGCAGCTTGCTGGCTTATTGCCTGGAAAGATGGATATCCACCCATCTTCGTCCATAGTTGAGAATTAAGTCAGCGGGAGCTGCGATACCTCGGCAGCAAGACAGATAGAAGGAGGATCATGTTCGAGATTGCACCCATCTTTCAAGCCAGCCCTGGCGACAACACCCGACTACGTCGTGTGTTGCCGCCCGGTATCATTAATTCCCTCATTGCAACCTTCTTTTTATTAAGCTAGCCCTGGCGACAACACCCGACGTCGGGTGTTGTCGCCAGACTACGTTGTGTGTTGCCGCCCGCTACTCTATAATTTACCAGCTGCCATTCCCTTATTGTAACTCTAACCTTTACAGCTCCTGCTGGCTTATTGTGCTGTTGTGCTGATTGCACTAACCTTAAATATTAATGATTTATTCCTACCCCTAACTTGTATTGAACCATCAATGTTCAGTTTTGTTGGCTTATGACTATCTCTATCCTTATACTTTGGCTTCACCGGAATAGGAAATAGGAAATAGCATTAAAGGGGTTGAGAACTCAGGCAGTTTACCTGCCGAGGTAATGAAATTGTAAAGAGTGCCTGAAGATCCAGATAGCATACCATAGCCTTGCAGTAGAGAGAATCCTGTGTGGTCCATGCTATTCAACCATTCCAACAGCAGTGGTTGAATAGCATTGGCAGCCAGCTCTGAGGAGCTGGCCTTGGCAGCCCAGTGAAGGGAGAATCTCACCAACCAGGGATCTCCCATCCTGGCGCTGGCCAGCTCTGAGGAGCTGGCCTTGGCAGCCCAGTGAAGGGAGAATCCTCACCAACCAGGGATCTCCCATCCTGGCGCTGGCCAGCTCTGAGGAGCTGGCCTTGCAGCCCAGTGAAGGGAGAATCTCACCAACCAGGGATCTCCCATCTGGCGCTGGCCAAGTCCTTGCTGACAGCCATCCTCCTGCTGAGGAAGGCCAGTTGGGGCTCCCTTACTGCCTAACTACCAGCTGAGATCTGAGGAAGAGATCTAGAGAGGTTGTTCCCCGAGGAAAGACCTCCCGAAATCTCATCGGATTCGCATACTGCAGGCAGTTTATTAAGGGAAGAAGAGTCCTGTACGATACAAGGATCTCTTCAACAGTCTATTACATTCAGCATTACACTACAGATACAGTTGGTCTACACCACCTTTTGAGCGTGTTTTCATTGGCATTTTGGATTGATTTCAAGGCACACATTCAAAGTCACAAGTCAACAACCTTCTGGTCAATTCTGACAGCTCCAGCCCTCACCAGAGCGTCAGGTACCTTTCAGTTGACTACTCACCAATCCTACAAGGCCAACATCATCATCATTGCCTTGAAAAGGACCTGTACAAGTCCATCATCTTGATCAACCTCATTGCGGAGGCACCATCGCTATCGTCAGATGGTAGACGGATCCAATCCGCAGGGAAAGTTACCGCCCAACGCTCAACGAACGTCTGGAGACTCCGAGAGAGCATCAGGAGACTTATTGTTTTTCTACGGGATTTATTGATTCATCAAGCCTTCTACGTCTCAAGGAATTTGTGAAGCAACAATTGCTTATTACGAAGAGCGAGGCTTATTGCTTCAGCTCATTTCAGCGATTTACATGGAACGTTCGTGGAACACTTGGATTTATTGGAGATCGTGAGGCATATCACTTTTGAATCCCCGTGCAGCTTTCGATTGTCAAGCTTCCGTCCTTTACAGTTTCGAGTGATTTACGGGAACGTACTGGAAGTTCTTCGCGAGAAGCTCTCAGCCAATCAGATTGCCTGTGCAGTTTTCGAAGGTCACCTGAACGTTTCGGTAGCTACTTATTTGCCGTACCCTGAGTCAGTGTTCTCGAATCGACGACGTTCTTTTGCGATCCTGGATCTTTTGTACCTTTCGAAGACTTATACGACAGCGTTTCCCGTACCGAAAGCAGGCTCAGCCTCGGTAAATCCTTCGGTTCACATTTTAAAGGTTTTACGTGGTCGAGTCATTGAAACTCGTGAAATCGCGATCTTCCGTACTGATCGAGTGATCGGAGCCACCAAAGCAGAGCAAACTCGAGGACACTCGAGGCAACCAAGCGACCGATTCGAGGCAACAGGAGTATCACCGTTGAAACCGCTACCCTTTATTTGGTCAGTGGGTAACTCACCTTTAGTTCTGGAAGCTTGTGTGTGAAGATTCAGTGCTCTGAGTTTACTGGCTACGACAGTGGCAATTTCCCACAAACCAAGCCAGTTCCCAGCACCAAGGCGACACAGGAAGCTTGTTCCAGAGCTTGTACTGTCTACCTTATTCAAGTACATATTTATTGAATTCCCAGGCTCTCAGCAAGGTCCCAGGAAGCTCTCTTTGTATTCTTCGAGCTACAGGCAGTCAAGCCTTATTTACTGCTACAAAGAGCTAGGATACGGTGTTCCACCAGTACAGCACTGAAAGCAACAACAATGTCGGATTCCACCATCAGGAGACGACTGGCTGAGGCCCTCTATGCCACCAACGATAAGACTGTTGGCCATCCCCAGGGCCTCCACCAGCAAGAAGTGACTTTGGCTACTAACAACCAAGACTATGGGGAGTTGCCTGCTACTCGTGCTTCGCGAGCCACAGCCAACAACCAGCTGCCCACTGCCACTTCCTTGGTTGCCTCTACGATGCCACCAGTTGCCCTAGCTGGTACTCCCAATGCATCACTAGGTGATGGGGCAAGTATAGAGCTGACTACCGCAAGCTCCAGTTATCACCCAGTTTCCACATTGGCTCACGGGGAGTTGCCAAACAACAGGCAGCACGCCCCAACAAGTACTGTACCAAGCCACAGTGATTGCCGCAGGACGATCCCATCAACCCAGGGAATCCTGCCTGTAATAGACACAACAGTTGTCCCGTCCAAGCAGGACCACACATCCTTTGGAGGACGAACGACAACCAACTCCTGTTGGAAGCCACATGGTTTGCTGATCCAGGCGACACCCAAGGCAACCAACACGGTTCTAGCAGAACCACCCCTCTTCGGTACTCCCAGTGCCACCAGATTGGTTCCGAATGAGGGAGTTCCTCCGACAGCTATGCCACCGGGGAGGCACAGCAGGTGCCAACCAACACAACTGGATGTTGGCCCCAATGGCATCACGTCATGGATGAATGAGACCACGGGTCCAGTTCCCAAGGTTTCCTACCGAGTGCACAGGAGCCCCACTATTGCCTTTGGCCTATGGTTCCAATGCATCCTTGGTCCCATGACAAGCCACATGATTGGACGATTCCAATCCTTGCTGCTGAAGATACCGTCCCACCTGGATTTTCGGTTGGGCGATTAGTCTCTATCCCTGACTGGTTGAGCCCATCCAACCCATCCGTCAAGGGACATGTCTGCGGGGCAGAAAGGCCACTCCACTGGAGTCTGCCTCCACTGAACTTGGCCAACCGGCTTTGCAAGCAAGCTACCTATTTGTATGAATGTTGAAGAAAGAAGGTCATCATTGAATTGTGACATCATCAACGCTTGTGTTCGACAGTGTTGATCCGTTTGGCTCTCCCAGCCTAGCACCTACCATTGGCTAAAGCTCCAAGACGGTGTGTACCACCATGCACATCCCAGTATTGTGAATGATTCATGTTTCAGTGAGTGACGACATGAAGAGAAGGTTGCAGTCCCACCGCTCCTGAGGCCTCGCAACACAAGCATTGACGAAGAAGGATCTGTCCAATGCGACAAAGCAATCAAGATTCCGCATTGGTCGATTCGGTTGCTTTGGTTCAGGACGACAAGCTGGTCACACCGATTGGTATAACCACTCCTGGGGAGACCCAAGGAAGACTTCAAGCACACCAGTTCGAAGTCAATCATCCCATTCCAGAGGCAACGGTTTGATCCTAAGGATGCCGATCCTATGGGGGGTCTTAGTGTAGCTAGCCGTAGGTAATCGTACCGTTCACCTCTGGCAGTACTGCAAGAGCGAATCCATTTGCCAACTATGAATTACAGGGCAAGAGCTCTAGATTCGTAGTAGCAGCGCTAAGGCAGCTTGCTGGCTTATTGCCTGGAAAAATGGATATCCACCCATAGTTGAGAATAATGAAATAATAAAGAGTGCCTGAAGACCCAGATAGCATACCATAGCCTTGCAGTAGTAGAGAGAATCCTGTGTGGTCCATGCTAGGGTAAAGAGCCACAATTCAACCATTCCAACAACAGTGGTTGAATAGCATAGGCAGCCAGCTCTGAGGAGCTGGCCTTGACAGCCCAGTGAAGGGAGAATCTCACCAACCAGGGATCTCCCATCCTGGCGCTGGCCAAGTCCCTGGCTGACAGCCACCCTCCTGCTGAGGAAGGCCAGTTGGGGCTCCCTTACTGCCTAACTACCAGCTGAGATCTAGGAAGAGATCTAGAGAGATTGTTCCCCGAGGAAAGACCTCCCGAAATCTCATTGGCCTATTGCCAATGCGCTCAATGTAAGCAAGCTGGGGATGCTGTTTTTGGCAGCACAGGTTGGTGACCATCATTTGTACCAGTTTGAATGAATCGACCTTCCCAATGCTCAAACATGCACCTACGAACAAGCTAATGCCGCCTATCAAAACTTGATCACGAAAGAAGGCGGTGCCAAATTTCTTACTACAACCACTGCCGCACCACTTGCGCCAAGGTTCAAACCCACTAAGAATTTACGCAAACTATTTACACTTGACAATCCCTCTCCCACAACTGGAGCGTTCCTCAATCATGCATGAAACCGACCCTAAATTAGGATCGGATTTAGGGTCGGATTCCCTTTAGGGTCGGGTTTCGAAACCGACCCTAAAAATAGGGACGGTTTCTGAAAAACCGTCCCTAATTTAGGGTCGAGTTTCGATTTAGGGTCGGGTTTGAAAAACGTCCCTAAATGGAAACGGGACTGAGTGGTAAATACATTGAAAACGCACCAATATTAGGGTCGGGTTTGAAAACCGACCCTAAAAATAGGGACGGTTTTTCAGAAACCGTCCCTAATTTAGGGTCGGGTTTCGATTTAGGGTCGGGTTTGAAAAACGTCCCTATATTTATGGACGGATTCCCCCAAACCGTTCCTAAATTAGGGACGGATTTAAAGTCATGCACGATTGAGGAACGCTCCTGCTGTAATGGTGGGTGAAATGGCCAGGAATGAAGTCAGTCCCCAAATCTACACCTTGACTGGATCAGGACCGCGAAGTGCACTTCGTATTCTTCGACATGGAGCTTCTGTCAGTGAATTGGCAGTCAGTGAATTGCCTGGAATCCCTGGAGGGATCTTTATCAGCTTTGCCGATGCTACACTTGTCTTGAGCGTTGGAGAACTGTAGAAGAAGTTGGACGAGAGTCGGAATTCTTGACCAACGCACCAACTTTGGCGTGTTCGCCATTGGGTAATGATGGAGCGCTTTGTCAGGTCCATCCTGTCGGAGTAAGATACATCCAGCACAGGCAGGCCCGCCAATGGCATTGTTCTGGTTTGAAACGTATCGAATGCGCAAGCTCCAACGAGAGCCAAGTTCTCATTGCGCTTTCAGGTGGGGAAGTCATCTACTTTCAATTAGACCCACAGAGTGGCAATTTAACGGAATGTGCCACAAGAGACATGAGTGCAGATGTTTGCTGTCTGGATGTTGGTACAGTTCCAGAGGGATCATCACGAAGTTTCTTTCTTTGCGGTGGTTGGGTGTCGTGATCAAACAGTTCAGATCGTAAGCCTTGAGCCTGGCAATCTACTTCACCAACAAACCAGTACAGCCTTGAAATCAAGGCCACACAAGTGCATTCTACAACGTATGGCGGGTGAAGCATCAGACGGGGAAAATACGAATGCTATTCTGGATGAACTTGTCCTGGTAATTGGTTTGGATGATGGAAGCGCTTTACGTGCGACTGTGGATTCTGTTACGGGTTCAATCTCCACGAGTCACACAAAGCGATTTCTGGGAGCCCGGCCAGTTTCTGTGTCATGCATCAGCTTGGAGTCCAGGGCGTCCAGCCTGCTTTTGTCATCTCGTCCATGGATCAGTCGTCTGGATCCAACTTCTGGCAAACACATCATGGCTCCCTTGTCTCACACACCTTTGGATCATGGTTGCTCCTTCCGCTCGGATGCAGTAAGAGAAGGAGTAGTTGCCACTGCTGGAAAGAACTTGCGAATTCTATCGGTGGATACAATTGGCATGGGAGGCGGCCAGGAAGAAGCATTCAATACCCAGAAGATCGATTTGCGATATACACCGCAACACATGACTCTTTTATCAGCTGGAATGGGTAACTCTGTGGGCGCTCCCGAGAGCCGAAAGACCATTGTAGCTGTCGTGGAGAGTGACTACAATGAGTACGGCCTGGAGGCCAAAATCGCAATGGGATTTGATGGAACCGGTGGATCTGGAGCTGCATCTAGTTGTGGTGGCAAGGCTAATGACAATAGCATGGATATGGTCGAAGGGAGCGACGACGAAGGTGACAAGAAAATGGACACCGAGGAAGGAGATGGCATGGACCCCGAGGAAAAGGAAGCTAGGAAGACCCCAAGCAATCAGAGGCCCCGTTCCGAATGCCCCTGGCCACTGGGGTTCGTGTGTTCGCTTGCTCGACCCATCCGATTCATGCAGAACTCTGGACTGCGTTGAGATGACCCGGAACGAAGCTGCCGTCTGTTGTGCCTCTGTGCGATTCCACTCAAAGGGAGGAGAACCTCTGCTTGCAGTTGGTACTGTGGCAAACATGACTTTGCAACCCTTGCGTCAGGCGGCGAGTTACATCATTCTTTACAGAGTCGTCAACCAAGAACGGTTGCAATTGCTGCACAGAACTGCTGTTGATGATGGGCCAGTCCTTGCTTTGGCTCATTTTCAGGGGAGGCTGTTGGTTGGAATTGGCAAATCACTCAAGTTGTACGAGATGGGGAAGCGACAACTGCTCCGAAAATGTGAACTTCGTACATATGTTAAAACGTTGCAAACTGCAGGGGACAGGTGACATATTTTGTTTGGAGCCACCTTGGAGAGTTGTGTTCCGTTTCTCACCATCTGCTTGATTGATCTTAACAGAGCCTTCTTGGGTGATATGATGCAATCGGTTCATATTGTTCGGTATGATGCATCGGCCAACCGTCTGGTACTGGTTGCTGCTGATCCAAACCCGAGACCGATCGTTTCTCAAGAGTTACTAGACTGGAACACAGCTGCTGTGGGGGACAAGTTCGGCAACGTTTCAATCTTAAGGCTTCCTCGTGGCTCTGACACTCAGCTGCTGTGGGGGACAAGTTCGGCAACATTTCAATCTTAAGGCTTCCTCGTGGCTCTGACACTGGCGCTGTGGACTTCACGGGTCAACGGGCCCTTTGGGGCTCGTCGCGAGAAGATGCTGCTCCAAGCCTGGAACAATTGTGTCAGTTCTATGTAGGCGAAGTTGTCACAGGAATGACTCGCTCATCTCTGGTTGCTGGAGGCGCAGAATCACTCATCTATGTGACAGCTTCGGGACGAATTGGGGCTCTAGTGCCGTTCACGTCAAGAGGTGATGAGTTTTTTTCCCAGCTGGAGGCACATTTGAGGATAGACGCTGAGCGACCTACAGGCAGGGATCCGCTTGCTTACCGGTCTTACTATTCACCCGTCATCCATGTTGTGGATGGGGATCTTTGCAGTCCATTCACCTCCCTTCATCACTCCGAGCAGAGCAAGATTGCGGAAAAGCTCGACAGAACGATGGGAGAGATCATGAAGAAGCTGGAAGACACTAGAAACACCTTATTGTAGAATCCCTTGTGAGGAAGGAGTAATATTGGGTCTGAGGGCCTGGCTTTGCCCTCTTTCGCATACCAGCGCCTTAGCCGTTCTCAACCAAGAAGGTACCGTACCACTATGCCGTGCTTTTACACCTTTAGCATGAACTTTTTCAATCAAAGGGTTCACTCTTTCCTCTCTGTGTATCGTACACACGGATCCTCTCTTCCCGGTTGCTGGTGGTGGCGCATGGCTCACAGTCTCCTGCCACGGTAAAAAAAGATACAGGTGGGAGCACCGCAGGACCGTACCGTACCGGTACGGGTGCTTGTACGGTCCTGGTACCGAACCGGCACATGCATATTATGTACTCGCTAGCTAGCTAGTACCAGGCTGGTACCACCAATCCGTTTGGAATCGAAGATTCCCTGCCACCGCCTCAGCTGGGGCTGGGGCCTTTGTGGCTAATGTAGCTAGTAAACAACCTACATAAGGGTTTGCCTTGGTAGGTACAAGCTAAGGAGTGGCTCCCATCTCACCAGGGAGATGGGAATGTTTGACCAAAAGATTTCTGGGAAGCCAGCTGAGCAATCTGCCTCTGACGTTTTTTCCACGCCCAAAACAAGAAGTGCTTGATCGAATTCCTTGAGCACCCCTGTATCGGATCTTTAGAAGCTCAAGCACATCCTTCTTTGAATAGATATCACTGAAAAGGCAGAACCTTCCATTGTTTGAGAGACATGGTGTCGTCGTCCCGCATGCTTGGTCTATCTTTCGGCTTGATTGTCGCAAACGTCGCTACACTCTCGGCTTTCATCCCTCAACAGAACCTTTTTTTGTCAAGACGATCTGGCCAGAAGTTGGCCTATGAGATCAATGCAACAGCAACTTCAGGTAGTTCAGAAGGCTTGGCCAATGAAGCAAGGACGGTAGTGAAGGCTTTCAATGAGCCTCCTGTCAAGATTCAAAGTCGGCTGGAAGAAATCCAGCAAACAATTGAAAGGGGAGAAAATTTGACACGTACGTGAGGACTGTTGCAAGGGTTATCGGATTGTCTCGATGCCAATCAAATGGATATTCTCATGGTTTCTGTGTTCGTCGTCGCGCCAGAGGATTACTGTGACACAACGCTTGGGCTATGCGTGGCAGCGGAACAATGGGAGTGTGTGATAGATGTGCTAGAGCAGATGCAAAAGCAACAGATGACGCAGGAGCGCTCAACTTTCCGAATGTGTTTGCAACAGTGTTTTGAGGTAGGAAATGGAGCTTCTGCTCTCGAAATTCTACAGGCAATGGAACAGGCTCTCATTGAACCACAACCTGATGATATCGGCCTAGTGGCCGCCGCCATGTGTCGGAACAATCGCAAGGAATCAGGTTGGTGGAAAAGAGCGTTGGATCTCCTACTCAAAAACCCTTCCCCAGACGTTCCGATCGATGCATACGATGCAGTGCTTGCCTGCCTAGTGGATGAAAGAAACTGGAAGGAATCTATAAAGTTGCTAAGGCGCTTGGAACAACCACCAAAAAACAAAAAAAGAATGCTACCAAAGCCAACCCTTGCAACCTACAGAGAAGTGATTGAGTGTTGCGTAGCCGGAAACCAAGTTGAACAAGGAGTGCAAATACTCGACAAAATGAAAAAACGTGGTATCAAACCAACAGTCTACACATTTGAAATAGTCATATCTGGATTGGCAAGGAAGCTACAGTGGCGACGTGCCTTGCAGTTGCTGGACACCATGGACGAATACGGGGTAAACAAAACGGTTCCAATCTACAATACCTTGATCAGTGCATGTGCAAGAGGCAAAGAAATTGGAGTGGCCAAGAGCCTGCTTGCAAGGATGAAGAAAGAAGGGATATGGCCCAGCATCATCACTTACAACTCGTGAGTGCATTCTTTCGGTGCAGGCACAGTTGCCTGCTTTTTCAAAGACTCTCACTCTGCGCACTCTACTCAGATTAATAAGTTCTTGCGCAAGCGCAGGCAGATGGAAGGACGCCATGAACTTGTTCGACCAGTGCAATAGAGATCCACACGTTGAGCCTGATATCTATACATACACGAACGTTATACGGTAAGCAGGTTCAATGAACGAAAGCGATTCACACATGGCTTTTTGTTGAGTCTCATTCATGATGTTGGAATAGGGCTTGTTCTAAGGGCAAAATGACAGAGCGTGCTTTCACATTGCATGACACAGTTCTAGAGAAAAACATCCCATTGGATAGCTACTTCTACGCAGCTGTGATTGAAGGTACGTCCTCGAAGCTTCAATGCGAGCGAGCTTACTTCCAGGTCGTGAATGTTGGTGTCTTACGTTTGTATCATACAGTGGCAGCAAATGCGAGGCAGTGGAAGCGTGCGTTGGAGTTGCTAGATGAGATGGAAGAAAAAGGCGTCCCCCCTTCTGATGTCGTTTACAGGTATGTGAGATTTCTTGTGCTGATTGAGAAAGAGAATTCTTGCTGCTACCGTAGTGCTCACTTTGCGTGGATGTCTTGGTTAAAGCCTCACAATCAAAGCTTGCGGGAATGGTGGAAAATGGCAATCGGCCCTCAATTTGCTGGAAAAGGTATGACTTGATAAGAGAAGCAGGCTCGTGTGAACTTGTGGACGCACTTGGCGCACGCTAACCTTTGATATGTCATGCAATCAGATGCGAAGCAAAGGAATGCGCATCAATCTAATCACCTACAACGCTGCAATTGCGGCACTCGCAAAAGCTGCTAAGCGGTCGGCGAAATATCCTACAGGAAGACCATGGCGGCCACAAGAGCCTGACAGTGGAAAAATTTGTTTTTGGGTCCGTGCCATAGAGTTACTGGATCAGATGAAAAAAGACAACATCAAGCCCGACGGATTCAGGTGAGTGACGGAAAGTGCGTGTCATGCCCGATCACAGCCATCGCTATTCGACACGACACTTACATATCGGTTTTCTCTGCATCTCCCAGCTTTTCATCTGCCATCAGCTGTTGCGGGGCTGAGGGAAGGTGGCAAGAAGCTCTTGCGTTGATCGATCTGATGAAAAAAGGAGGACCAAGAACGCAACCAAATAGGGTGGCCTTCACAGCTGCAATAGGTAAGGCAAAAGAAAACTGTTCGTAAACGTTGCGTGCGTGCCCTCTCACGGATTGTTGGAATCTCCAAAGATGCCTGTGGACGCTCCGGTGAACACATGCATGCTCTTTGGCTTTTCCGAAACATGACAAATAATGGAATATCTGCTGATAGGGTCGCATGGAACACGTTATTCCATGGCTTTCGGGTAGCCAACAAACCGGATCTGGCCTATGAGCTTTGGGGAGAAATGCGCAAAGCAGCAAACACCACCGACAGAATCACAGCTATGCCGGATCACCAAAAACCAACACCTGACATAATCACAGTGACAGATGTCATTGCCACGCTTGCTAAGAGCGAGAACCAGGTCGACCAGGACAGAGTTGATGAGGTGTTTGCCGAAGCTGTTAATCGTGGCATTATATTTGGGTCCCACCTCGATTCTGTGTGGGAAGTGGACCTATCTGGTCTGTCCTTGCCAGTAGCTCGTGCCGCTTGTAGGTTTGTTGTGAACCGAACAAGACAAAAAGTAGAGGACGAAGGAGAAGACGTAAAGGATTTGCACTTCATAACTGGCGTTGGGGCAGCCTTTGGACAAGGACAAGGAAGAAAAGGGCACGCTTCCACGACAGCGGACAAAAGCAGCAAGTCTCAGTCCTTGCGCGATTATGTGCAGAAGGAGGTGCTGTTAGGCGACTTGAACATAAAGTCCACAATCCCAAAACTTGCCCAGGGCACTGTCACCATTGAAAGGGAAGTGCTGGCAAAGTGGATAGAACGAAGACAATAATAGCCATCTACAGTAGCCGTTTGCCCAACGGCCGCACCATGCTCGTACACAACACAATTACGCCATCTATGCATTATTGGAATCGTAGTAAAGCGTTTCCAGAGCTGCGTCCACCCTGGCCCGTGCCAAGTCGAAAGCATCGTCAGCTTCTTTGGTTTCCACGTCGGAGTCGGGCGGGGATTCCGCACCGTGGCTCCGAGCTGGGGAGCGGCTGCAACTGGCACGTTCAGAGCGAAGGGTGTTGAGCAAATCCTCCACGATCCTCGAGGCTTGGTTGCTTTTTTCGTGCCAGTTTACTCGCTCGTTGTAGCTCCTCGGTTGGCGATGTTGGGATCTGCATGTGTTTCCGCTTCGGCACTCGTAAATTCGTTGCATGAAGCTTGGCGCCTCTGCACCTACTTGGCTGTCCGTCTCTGTCCACTCTGATTGCCTCGATGTCGATGCTGTTGTGTTCCCATAGGTTTGCCTCGATGCGGTTGTATTCTCATTGGTTTGTCTCGATTCGATTGTATTCTGATAGGACTTTAGCGATCGCGTTTGATGAGAGTTCAGCCCGATGGATGATATGGTAGTGTTTGATTCGTTTACTCTGTCACGTGAATGCATTCGTTCTCGGTAGTTTCGCGCCGATAGTCTGGCACGTGATCTCATTACCCTTTGTGGCGCTGAATCTCGTGTAATGCTGGATTGAGTCGGCGTCGCAGCGTCAAAGGATTCGTCGGGAAAATCGAACAACGAATCATCGAGAAAGGATTCGGACAACTGAAACGAGTCGAGCTTTTCTTCCATGGCGTCCAGTTCAAGTTGCGATAATTTTTCCATTTCCAAAGAGTCCAGCTTTGATTCCATGGCGTCCAGTTCCAGTTCGTATTCTTCTAGCGCAGCCTGCACGGGTTTTGCTTTATCAGGACTCGGACCACCGCTGGGAAGCTGCTTTCTTGTTGGAGTGTCCACAACATCCGAGGCGAAGCTGACAGTTTTCTTAATCGCCCCCGCTTCTTGTTTCGGTGCTTCCTCTGATGGCTGTTGCTCACGCCGACCCAGACTCGCTGCTTCGTTTTCTGCCTTGACCTTCTTTGCCAAGAAAGATTTCCACCCAGCAGTGACGGATGACTGAGCGCTGCTTTGGCTTGCTTCGTCAGGTTGTGGATGACCCGGCGAGACCCCCGTTTTCACGCCATTGTTACGTGTATTGTTGTTGCCTAAACCTTGTCTTTGTCGTTCGGCCGTAGCATTACCTCTACTACCCTTCCGACTTGAAGCATGGGTAGCTTCGTCGGCAGTGTCGTTCGAGTGAGACCCCATGACGCTGCGCCCATGTTCGAATGATCTGTACTCCCCCGAATCAGTAGAGTATACTGTTTCAGGAAGAATAGGATTCAACATACCACACCCAGCCAACCTGCCAATCCCCGATGTCCGAGGAGGAGACCTGCGACGGAACAAATCGAGTTCCTCCTGTCGCACCTTTTCTTTTCTGACTTGGACATATGGCATTACTGGAGCTGGAGGCTGGATCATCATCAAGTAGTCTTCGTGCTCTTCGAAGTTAAGTGCCGATACTTTCAAGCCATCATGGGCTTCAATAGCAAGATCAATCTTTTTCAAAATGTCATCAGGTGATCCCTGCGCCTCCATGACATGCAATCTTCCCAGAATGTCGTCAGGGTATTCAGCTGTTCCCATTGATGGCGAAGCAATCATTTTTTGAGCATCCATTCGTTTGAGAACGCTTGTAGCGTCCACCTCAAATCCGATCTGCGAAAGCATCTCGTCATCTTCTGGCTCTAGCTGCTCTCGCTTTAGAACTGTTTCCTCGGCAGTTTTGCCTGGCGGATCGTTTCTTCGAAGTTCCTCTGCAACTCTCTTGGCAAAGGCTTCCCTGTGGTTATTGTTGCTATCGTTTTTGTTTTTATTGTTGTTGCTGTTGTTGTTGCTTGCGGGAGCAGCAGATAATTGCTGTTGCCGAGGCTGCTGTGGTTGCTGTGATGCCACTGAAGGAGTTCTTATGGACATGACGTCCGAGGTATCCAAGGTGGTAAAGCCGTACCTTGGATCCCAGCTGTGTTCGGCCAAATTGGCAGTAGCCCGTTCCATGGATTTGACCCATTGACTATTTTTTCTCATAGATGGGGATGATGGGGCCAGAATGGAGTTGTAAGATGATGGAGCCAGAATGGAGTTGTAAGATGACTCCCCACTATAGTAGCTGAATCCATCGGATTGTATTTGTGGCTTGGACGGCTTCATGTCGAGTGAATTTCTTCCTGCTGGAGTGTGAGTTATGCGATGGATTTGTGGTGGCATAGGTGCCACAATAGAGACACCATCGCCACTTCTCCGTGATTGATCAGTGGTGGTGGTACCGGTAGCCAGAGATCGAGTTGCATCGGTCCAGAAATCATCAGCATCTGCCAAGCGGGTAGTGGGTTGTTTAGATTCGACTGCTGGAAAACATATTTCTTTCCCATTCATATTCTTTTCATGTTTGTTCATGTTGCGACCTCTGCGTTCTCTGGATGCTGTTCCCGGGCTCTTGCTGGCCACATGAAGAGGTACATGAATTTTGCTAGAAGAGGCAAACGTGTCTCCATCGCCATAGTCTTCTTCATATTTCTCCTTATAACCAATCCAGCCCATATCACGTCCCCACTTGCGATGTGCTGCTATTGAAGCTGCTTCCATGGATTCATGCCACCCATGATGCTTGCCGACGGACGCCTTCGCTGATGCTTCTTGGGCAAGACGGGCTGCAGCGGCTCCTCGGCGTCTTCGCCTGCTGGACGAACTTTCCGTGCGGACAAAGGGCAGAGCACCGGAGACTGAGCTGTTGGAAAGGGCTTCTTGGTACTCCATTGTTGTTGAATATTCATGTGATCAGATTCATATCATATCCATGCACAACGAACAAACTCTAGCTACGAGTAGTATTATTGTGTGCCGTCGGGAGGGTTGTCTGCCGAATAAGAAAGTTGACGCGAAAGAAGCTTGAAAACAGCTTTGCAGGTTGAGAGATGACTTCCCGCGCTGGTGTGGCCAATTTCGTGCCAATCGGCTTGCCGTTGTCAACCGATCATTGGTTCCGTTGCTGCCAACTTTGACACCACACGCAGCTCCACAGGTACCGGCGCTGTACCGGTGGCCACTTCTAGCGTCTCTAGCTAGAGTAGTCTAGGAGAGTAGTCTAGGAGAGATAATCTAGCCAGGTACCGTACCGGTACGTAGAATAGCCTGCCAGGTACCGGTAGCAACGCTGTCTTGGAAGGTGGGAGGAACCAGGAAAGAAGGAAATCTGCTCCATAGAAGCAGCAACATCCTCTAAACAAGGGATGGCAACTGTGTGGGATGACGATGCTGGGTTTCAAAGCTTGGCCAGCATAACAGCAAATCCGCAGTGGTGAGTTGGCCACAGGCCCCTCGAGTTGACGATTTCGACTTTGATTATTAGGGTCCGCAAAGCGCAAACCGTAAGGTGCCAAGCAGTACCGGTAAAGAAGGCCAAGGAGTAGGAGTCGCATGTGTGGACAAAGCAAACTGTTGGTTCGGTTATTGAGTTTATCACTCTGCAGTGTAAAGAATAAGCCAAAAGACTGTTAATACACACCACAGATGTCTATTCCCAACAAAACCAAACCACCAACATGCAGGACGGAGGCTTGGGCGGAGCCGCAGCCCCTCACCCCCATCAGCCCGCACCGTATGGCGCCCACGGGCCTGCTTTGTGGTCTGGTTTTTATAAGAACAACCACGTGGTCTCGTATTTATAACGTCGAGTCTGGAGTTGCGAACCGAACCGTTAACCTTTATCCCTAAAAATCGCTACGTCATCAAAACGGTCAAAAAAACCGTAGAATTTTTTCAGCGACCATGTATCTCTC